CCATAGCCTGTGACCACTGCCTCCACACCCCTCTGTACTTCTTCCTCCTCAACCGCTCTGTTCTTGACCTTGGCTTCATTTCCACCATTGTCCTAAAAGCCATGGCCAATTCCCTGTGGAACAGCAGGGCCATCTCCTACTCAGGATGTGTTACCCAGCTCTTTCTTTTTTACTTCTTGGCAATAGCAGAGTATGCTCTTCTCACAGTCATGGCCTATGACCGCTACGTGGCCATCTGCAAACCCCTGCACTACGGGACCCTCCTGGGCAGCAGAGCTTGTGTCCACATGGCAGCAGCTGCCTGGAGCAGTGGCTTTCTCACTGGGTTGCTATACACTGCAAATACATTTGTAATCCCCCTCTGCCAAGGCAATGCTGTGGACCAGTTCTTCTGTGAAATCCCCCAGATCCTCAAGCTCTCCTGCTCACATTTGTACCTCAGAGAAATTTGGCTTCTTTTGGTCAGTGTCTCTTTAGCATTTGGGTGTTTTGTTTTCATTGTGCTGTCCTATGTGCAGATCTTCAGGACTGCACTGAGGATCCCCTCTGTGCAGGGACAGCACAAAGCCTTTTCCACATGCCTCCCTCACCTGATCGTGGTCTCCCTGTTTGTCAGCACTGGCATATTCACCTGTCTGAAGCCACCATCCATTTCTTCCCCATCCCTTGACCTGGTGGTGTCATTTCCGTACTCGGTGGTACCTCCAGCAGTGAACCCCCTCATCTACAGCACGAGGAACCAGGAACTCAAGGATGCCCTATTGAACCTGGAAAAATGGTTGCTTTTTCACCAGCATTAACCTGCCTCACCTTCTCTGCACATTTCCCAGGCCAGGAGTCTATTTCTGTTTCATTTTGGGTTTTGTTTTCCCTTTTAAAAATGATGTTAACAGATAATTCTCTGTGCTTATATTACTTGTTTAGAGGTTTGATGATGCAGTTGTATTTGACCCTTATACAACACTCTGTTAGGTGTGGCCTGTCCAAATACATCTTTTCAGTAGAAGAACACCTCCCTGGTGTAGTTCTTGCAGGCTTTATTTTTTCTCGAAGGTTGCTGCCAACAAAACGCTCAAGGAATTAGTCTTCTCAAGAGTCGGTTCTTGTTTTCTCAAGGTTTTTTTCGTTAAGCTCATGATACTATTCAGTTCTACTGGACAGAATATTCTGGTTTTAATAGCTCATTGAGCCCAGTGGCAGTGAAGGTGATGCACGGGCTCCCAATTACCTCCTCAGCCTGCTTCACATATGACAGGACTGATGATGTGTACCTGTCTCCTTTCATAAATATATCATGGAATCATAGCATCACAGAATCATCAAGGTTGGAAGATACCTCTGGGTTCATCAAGTCCAACTGTCAACCCAGCATCACCATGCCCACTAAAACATATCTTGATTGCCACATCCACACGCTTCTTGAATACCTCCAGGGATAGTGGCTCAACCAACTCCCTGGGCAGCCTCTTCCAGTGTCTGACCACTTCACTTTCAGTGGATAAATATTTTCCTAATATCCAATCTAACCCTCCCCTGGTGTAATTTGATGCCATTTCTTCTTGTCTTGTCACTGGTTACATGGAAGAAGAGACCAACTCTCACCTCTCTACAACCTCTTTTCAAGTAACTGTAGAGAGAAATAAGGTCTCCCCTCAGTCTTCTTTTCTCCAGACTAAACAACCCCAGCTCCCTGAAATACTCCCTGTTAGACTTGTTCTCCAAACCCTTCACCAGCTTTGTTGCCTTTCTCTGGACACACTCCAGCCCCTCCATGTCCTTGTAGTGAGCGGCCCACAACAGAACACAAGATTTGAGGTGCAGCCTCACCAGTGCCCAGTACAGGGGGACAATCACTTCCCTACTCCTGCTGGCCACACTATTACTTATACAGGCCAAAATGCCATTGTACTGCTTGGCCACCTGGGCACTCTGCTGGCTCATGTTCAGTCGCTGTCAACCAACAACTCCAAGTCTTTTTCTGCAGGGCAGTTTTCCAGCCACTTGTCTCCAAGCCTGTAGCGCTGCATAGGGTTATTGTGACCCAAGTGCTGATCCCAGCACTTGTCCTTGTTGAACCTCATGCAATTGGCCTCAAGCCATTGATCCAGCCTGTCCAGGTCCCTCTGCAGAGCCTTCCTACACTCAGGCAGATCAACACTCCGTCCCAACTTAGTATCATCTCCACACTTGCTGAGGGAGCACTCAATCCCCTCATCCAGATCATTGATCAAGATGTTAAACAGGACTGGCCTCAAAACTGAGCCCTGAGGAACTGAGCCCAGCTTCTGACTGGCTGAACACTGGATTTCGTTCCGTACTCCAAGTAGGGTTTCACGAGAGCAGAGTGGAAGGGCAGAATCAGCTCCCTCAACCTGCTAGCCATGCTTCTTTTAATGCAGTCCACCAATGAAATAATTTTGTCCATGTGGTGGTCACATTGCTCCCACACTTATGCACCTTTTTGTGTTTATCTGAGGCCCTGGTTATGGTGTCCAGGTGTTGGGACTAAAGAGAAAGGAGGGTCCTTTCTCCATTGGAGAGCTTGTCCTGGGGTTGAGCTCTACAAAACCAGATAAGAGGCAATGGGAAATGGCTTTCGCTGCTGCAGGAAATAGAATGACTCCCAATGCATGGGGGACACCGGCACACCACATAGTGATGGGGACCACACACCATGGTGAGTGCAACAATCCCTCTCTCCACCCCTGACCAGAATGGGAGTTAGGGGCCCAGGCATCTTGGCTCTGCTGGACATCTCTCCAGTGAGCCCAGAAATCTAGGCCCAGGGAACAGAAATGCAGAGACATTTCACTGCTGAGAAGGTAAAAGCTGAATGAAGCCTTGGGAGCACTGGAGAGGGAATCCCACCACCTATGGTAGAGTCCAAGGAAGTTTCAAGGAAGAAGAGACCCTACAGGCACCTAACACAGCCACAAGCTTGATCCTGACCTAAAAAGGTATTCAGAAAGAAACAACTTCGCAAACACAAATCCCAGTCATGAGCCTGCTGCTGGCCAATCAAGTGCCCAAGAAGCAGGCAACTCATAAGCAACCGTAAGCTGCTGTCATATTCCACACTCAGACAGAAGGGACCTTAAAAGCACCAAGTCCAGTCATCAACCTTCTGGTAGCCTAGGATGTACTCTGAAAGACATGACTTAAGACACCTATGAGCTTGCTCATGGTCTCTCAGGTACTCAAGCAGTAGTACCCTCATCATTTGCATCCAGGTGATATGCCTGCTGCTGGCCTATGAAGGGAAGTGACTTCACAGAAGTGACCTGGCAGAATTGACCTCACAAATACCTAGCTTATCCATGAGACTGGTGCTAGTCTATCAGGCACTCAGACAGCGATGACCTCCATATCAATATACAAATGTTCTGCCTGCTTCTGGCATATCAGAGATTCTGGCACCACTGACCTCTTAATTAACATCCAAACTATGTGCCTGCTGCTGGCTTGTCAGGTACTCATGAAGAAATAACCTCATAGGTACTGAATCCAGCCCTGGGTTAGCATACCACCTGCAGAGACAGGTGTGACCTCAAAAGGAGCAACTATAGCATGGACCAGCTGTTCAGGTATCTGGGGTTATAGCAGCAGTGACCTCACAATCAGCATACCAGAGATTGGCCTGCTTCTGGGCTATTTGGTTTAAGGCAAAGGTGACTTCTCAAGCATTTACCATAGACACAAAGCCTTTTGCTGGACTTTCATGTCCTCACCAAGTTGTGTAGATTGAAAGAGATCTTGGGAGATCATCTAGTTCAACCCGTCTGCCCAAGGGGAGTCAGCCAGAGCAGGTTGCGCAGGACCATGTCCAGGTGAGTCTTGAATACCTCCATGAATGGATTCCACAGCCCCTCAGAGCAGCCTGTGCCAGGGTCATGCACCCTTCATGTAGAAACCCTTTCTTTTGAGTTCAGATGGAATTTCTCATTTTAGAGGTTTGGTGCCAAAAGTACATGCCCTGTATGGGGAGGGCTAAGGATGTGTACTTCTTAAACTTAGTGAACCTCCTTCAGTGGTGGTCATCATCCAAAAGGGATAACCTTTGACAGACATAAAGAGAATGAAGTGTCTGGCTGAAGAAAGAATCAGACTGCTGAAGGACAAGGGCAGGCTTTAAACTCCATGAATCAAGGCAGCACCTGAGTTTTTGAGAGGGATCTGACTGAACAAAGAGTAAGGCAATGGGGAAACTGGAGAGCAATAGGAAAGGCATAGCTCCAGATAGCCTGTTTGAAGATGCCTTTAGACACAGTCACTTTGTCAGGACAAGTGGAAAGATTCAGGAGATTGAATACGCAGTGTCATGGGCAAAGTACTGGCAATGCAAGTACAAAGGAAGGTCAAGTTTTCTTCTCCTGTGATCAATACACTTCCTGGAATTTCCCATTCTTGCGTGGTGGGAAAGCACTGTCATTTGCTAGAGAATATTGAGTCACTTAGGCTGATGGAAAGGTGCTCATGTGTTTTGAAAGGCTGCAAGCAGTTCCAGGCAGAGCTCAGTTGTCTGACCATGGATATTGAAAGCCACTTGCAAAGGCCTTACTGCATCTGAGGTGTTTGCCTGGGACAGGCTGCTGTCACACATGAGCTGCAGGACACCAGAGTCCCTTGGAAGCTGCTGACAGTAGCCAGGCAGAGAGTCCCAGGGCACCTGCACTGGCACCAGATGTCTGTGTACCCATGAATGAAGACATCAGGGTTTGTGTAGCTGCAATCACCCAGGTTCTGAGGATCACTATCCTCATAAAAATACTAATTTAAAAATATTCATGAAAACCCCACAAAGACTGGTATAGTGAAACAAACAAACACACAAAAGGCTAAACTAGGAGTCAAAAAACACAATGAATTATAAAAGTTGGAATGTCTCTAGATCTTTCACTCCCTCCAAGGTAAATGCAAAGTTACTCCATTTTAGGTGAAGAAAGACAGGAGTCTGGTCTGCCTCAACATCAGACACCTCACGGTAGATGTCTACATTGAATCAAGTTTACCTTGACTCTGGCAGGCAGCAGAGTCCCTGCCCCAGCACACAGCCCCTGGAGGGCACGGGCCCTGCTCTGAAGTACAGTCCTGGGCACTCCTGGGTACAATTCTGCCAATTCCAAACTGCAGCATGATGTGCACTGTCTAGGAGACCCCTCCAAGACACTCAAGTGCATTACCTTGCAGCCAGAGACTTACTGTGTTAAGGGATGTGAAGATTTCTGCTCCAGTGAGCTCTCAGTATCAACCCACCCACACAACCCGTAACATCTCTCTCACTTCTCTCCTTTCCCATCGGTGCTGCAGGCAGTTGCCTCTTCCACCAAGACTGACCAGGAGAAGCTTTCTTTTGAGGCTTTGGACTTCATTTCATCCTTGCCTCTACTCTTGAACACTAGGAGGTTTCACGGAATTTTCCTGCACTTGCATTGCTCACCCTCACATCCAACTGCCCCCAGGAAGAGCCCTGAGACACACGGGAGGGACAGGATCTTCCTTCCCAGGGCCTGGGGGTGAGGGCTTGGCCTTTCTGTTTTATCAGACAAACCCAGGATTTTCTCAGCATTGAAGCCACCTTAACAGTTCTTTTGCCTACCTGCAATCATGGCCTCCAATTCTTTGTTCCAATGAGTCCCCGGGGAGCCTTTGTGAGTAGTGGCCAACAGTAGGGCCCATTAATGCTTCAGAGTACTTTGGGGCTTTCTTCTGACTTCCTGAGCAGTTTCTTCAATTTTCTCTCAGTATCTGAGGTTCATGGACTCAGCATCAAGTACACCATGGGGCTCATTAAAATACAGAA